TATATATATATACTTGCTTTCTAGATTCCTACTTATGGAGTCATTTGGATCACATATTTTCTGAAACATTTTAGTTTCCAGAGGAAATAGTGATGAAATCTGTGTAGTTTTTGATTCTCAATTCTGATTTTCAAACCAAAAATTTGAGACACACATCTGAATGAAATCGAGAGACGAATCATCAAATCAGATCAAATTTATTAAGAATAGTTTATGTACAAGGAAATGGATGCATAATAAATACGTCAAATTGATAAGGTGCGTCAAACCAATATTTCAGTGCATTTGATAATAGACTTTCAGACACAGCGTAACTAATTAAGAATACTATTCTTGGTCTCAGTTGCAAATCTGAAGAATTTAATGTTCACATGAAACTGTTCCATGGAAAAGGAACATGAGAACAAAGTGAAATTCAGATCGTTACATTAACTAACAGCATATAATGCAATCAATAAAAAATATGGAGTTGAATTAACTTGTGTGATCACTTTAATGACAGCATCTCCAAAATAAAACACGAAAATATCTGTAACAGAACAAAATTATTGTTCTTTTTGCCTCCACTGAGTCGCCGGATAACATTTCTTACTTTCACAGTGTTTTACCTGATGCAAAATGATGTTTTGTTTCCCCTATATTCTATTACAAACTGGACTTCATTTTCAATACAGAATCAACACTTAGTACAAAAGAATAATTTCTCAGTAGTGTTTATAAGCATCAGCCTTCCACTGGTACTGATAATACTGTAAATGTATAGGAGGAAGGAAGATAAGAATTAATAACTTTTGTTAATGACGAAAATAGAAGTAATTTTTTTATTTCAGATTTCATACAACACTGAAGTTAACATTGAAGATGCTGTCTGAAAGCTTCACATTCATATTTGTTTGCCGTCTGCTTAAATCGTTGGGCTACCAGGATTTCCACAAGTTAAAATGCGTAAGACCTTCTGCATTCCTTATTACTTACATGAAACAATTAAATCAAATGATAACTATATACACTCGCACACATACTTAATTGGCCTCCGACTAAGTGCTACGCAGTTCTTGAAGGAAATGAAGAGAAAAAACTTACAGAATTTGTTCTGTTTTTATAAGTACCAACGCTACCTCATACGATATACTTCAGCTTATTACTGTACATTTAAATCTTGAGAAAACAGGAAATATTTTTAGACTAAATACGCGGAAAAATTTCTGTAATTTGTTTTTATATATTGCCTGAAACAAAAGCTTATATTTGTAACTAGTATATTATTATTATTATTCAGCTCAGAGAATATGACAATTCCGAAAACATCCTCCTAAGCGACGAATCTTCCCAACTGTCTCCGTCTTCAGACGTCAGTGGTTTTAACTCATGGAAAACAATCATCAAGATGTGAAGAAACTAATAAACAGTTCAGCGAAAGAGACCCTTTTTGGCGAATTCATTCACTAAGCTGTACAATCGCGATTATATAATATATATATTATATATATATATATATATAATTATTTCTGTATGTTTGTGTGCGCTCAGTCTGTAAAACATGGCGATTTTGTAAAAATGTTAGGAAACAAAAGTTCAGCAGATATTAAAATTTTATTACAAATATATATATATATATGTACACACTAAGTATATTTAACCATGAGTCTATCTACCACTTATTTATATAGGATATCCTTACTCAGTCTTATTTTAACTTGACTGAAGCAACTACACTAATATTCGAGTCCATTTGCAGCCTAACTGATTAGTTTTTAGCTCTACTTTTCTAAGAAGTTTCACTCTGGCTTACATCTGGTAGTTCGGTCAAAACGCAAACTTTGTACTGAGGAGAACTTTTACAAACACCCACATGTAAGTTCTGTCAAAAAAATAAACTGGGTAAAATGTGAAGGAGGATTCCATCATGAGCTGACATCAGTTAGGGAACAATTGAAAAAGTACATGGGAGTACTGGACACCAGTCAAACAAAATACCTACAAAACCAATATTTGGAAATTCATCTGATGCTTACTAGCGAGTGATCCTATTCAGGAAGTTAACCTGGGGTTCTGGTATGAAGCCGTGACCAGTAATGTGCTGTAGGTTGGAGGTGATGCAGTAAATCATCGAAGAAGATATTGCGGAGTGGTCGCGCTATGTCATGAATTGGTAGAAGTTAGAATTCATGGACTGGCTATTGAATCGGGTCCCAATGGCCTAATGGTCTACGAGCTCTCCTTGTAACCAGAAGGTTCTGGGCTCGGATCCAAGTAGTGGATGCTTACTGTGAAGAGCCCCAAACTAGGGCGAAACAGCTGTCCAGTACTCCCAGGTAGTTTTTCATTGGTTCTGTAACTGATGCCAGCTCATGATGAAATCCGCCAACCAATCAAACAAAATCCCTACAAAACTAATACTTGAAAACTTCTCTACTCTAAAATTATATGCAATATATAGCTGAATGGTTGAAAGAACTTCTGCTAAATAAAGCGCACCTATTAAAGTTTCGGTTTTCGTTTTTGTTGGAGTTATAAACTTCTGTATGATGTAATAAACAGTAAGAAGAAAAATAGTGTGACAGTAGCACATTTTTTGAGTTCTACGTGAACTGATAATTGTTTGACTGAAATAAAGTCGAAAAAAATATCTGAACGAATTTTAGAATATATTAAGAAGAAACTATAATACATAAAATTCATATAAGGCTTATAGATACACTTCATTATTTTTTGAATAGTTCACAAATGTTACTAAGAATATAGTGTCGGTGGCATAGCGATTAGGACGCTCGCAGACCATGGTCCGGGGTTCAATCCCCAGCTGACTCCTATTATTAAATCCTCCTTTACCTCGCTACGCCAGTAATAATGCTGGTAAAGAGGAAAGGTTGGGCATGAGGCTAGCAACCCCATCCTGTAAAATTAAACACTGCTACTGAAACTTCAAGCCACTAGCTTGGAGCCCTATAATCCGCTGGGAACGTGAAGGAAGAAAAACTAAAAATACATAGAAACAGTGTAAACACATTAGAAACAGCCACATTACATCATTCAAAGAGGAATTATTACTTCAAGATATACCCCTGAAAGTATTATTCAAAAATTAGCTGAACTGTGCTAGTGTGTTTTTTCAGCTACATCACAGAAGTTTGTCACTGTCATATATTTACTTTAACCGTTTTGGCTGAGTGAGTATTTTTTAACATAACTCACATTCTAACAACTTAAAGATCATTATCTCTTGCTGGGTAGCTGCACATTTTACATCCCCTTACTTTTAGTAATGTGTATTTTAGTCTGAACTTTGATGCTGTACGACTAGGCCTTAATTACTTCAACATATTTTCGTAAAATACAACTGTTTTTTACTAAACAGAAATGGATTTCATTAACCGGTAGAAAGACTGAAGAAGATCTGGGCTTTATGGATGATTTATGTCTAAAGTTACGTAAACTCGAAGACTTACAGACGAAAACCAACAAACTGGCAGATGAGGCTGGCAGCGATGACAGGACTCTAAGTGAACGTTGAGAAGACGGAGATGATGAATACAAACAAGCAACTGACAACGAAAACCAGCATCAATCACTATCATTGAGGAAAATTCAATGGAGGCCACTTCCTTCACTTATCTAAGAAACATTGTTTCAGCTGCAGGTGGCACTACTGAGGACGTCGAAACCAGTCAGAATCAGAAAGGCAGGACAGACATTCATCACTATGAAATTAGTGATGAAATCTGCTGCACTCAGAGAAAAGAACAAGAATCGGATTTTTAACACCAGTGTTAAGTCACTTCTTCTATATGGGTCAGAAACTTGCACTGCGAGTCACGAAAAGCACTTCCAACAGGCTACTACACATTTTTATCAGCATCTTCCTTCCTCCTATATTGAGGATTAAATGGCTAGCCAGGAAGAACGAGGAGCAAGAAACTCAGGGAACGAATACAATAAGAGCCTATTGCTCAACAGATACGTAGTAGAAAACAGATTTGGATTTGGAACACTGAGGATACCAGCGAATGACACTGCTAGTCAAACCATCACTTGAGTGGAAACAGAATTGGGAACGACGAGATGGGTGTTAATGCGGGGGTGACATGGAAGAGATTGTGTTAGAAGGAAATGAGAGACTATGGACAATCGTATGGTCAGTTAAAGAGGACTGAAGAGAACAAGATAAAGTGAGGATGTGCTTCTGCAGCCCTTTATTCCACTCAGAACACAGTGGAATAATAATAAATAATATTAACCCAAGACCGATATTAAATAAACTGGTGGGTGGTGACTAGCAGCAGAATCCAAAATGTGCATTTCGTCTTATTTAGAACTCTTCTGTTGGATATGCCTGCATTCCCCAACAAATGATTGATGAAATGCACATCTTGAAATCCTCTGCTTTTCATCAACCACTAATCTACTTCCAGTTGAAGTTTCTGAAGCATCTGCACGAGGAGCCGACATGTCAACCTGAAGTAAACTATTTGCTTTACATCTGTATATATCGTTACTTCTCCATTTGTATAATTCCATATTCACCAAGAGTATTGTTTTTGAAGAAACTGAAACACCTGAGTTGAGCTGCAGGAACTCAGCTGATTTCAGCAGAGAGCACTTCTAAACTGCACTAGACAAAATTGAAACAGATATCGAGAACGCCATGGTTTTAGTGATTCTCCAGCTGAAGTCTGTTCGTGATATATTCTTCATGGAAATCAAACTGAAAATACAAAATGTGACAGATGAATGTGAATTAAATTCAGAGGATTATTCATAATTTTATTTTCAATGAAGATGTAGCATTTGTGAAATAAATGACCAAATGATGTTTTTCAATTCAGATTATTACAGAATGCAGGTTGAAGAATTATTGAAACCAAAACTTAGCTATTCTCTTGTAATTGTATTTTAACCAATCAAATTAAAACATAATTTCTGCGATATCAAAATGCACAATCTGGTAGTATATAAACCTTTACATGAGACTGTGTTCCATTACATTTTGAAAGTAAACTATGAAAGTGAAATTTATAATAGTAAGTTGAAAACTATGAATATGTATATGTATTCATTGTAAATACATCTTATTGACTAAAATTCATTTAACTCTGTAACCATTCTTTTCATATTTGGTATTTTGCAGGTGTGTTACGTCACATTAATTTCTTTATGCTCAGGAAGTTTTGCGACCAAAAGCTATAAAGATTGCACCAGTTTATTGAAAGAATCATTCGGTGTTTGTTTCAGAAGTGCCTGGTATCAAACATGTGAGTGCTAGTAACATATGGGAAAAATATTATGAAACCGCTGTTCAGTTCTGAGTTTGTTGTTTAAATCCTTTCGTTACATTTTATTTAAATCTCCTATTCTGCAACTACTGGAAAAGCTGCATATGATCCCATTAAAAAACTACTCATCAAAGCATCTGTCGTTAAGCCAAATACACTCTCATAAAAGCTCTTTCTTGATCAAATATAAGTCATATAAGCTGTAAAAGTTGTCATTTCAAAACACCTATGCGTTACCAATTCAACATCCTCAGGTAAAAGAAGCCACTTTCTAAGTGGTCAATGGACAACTACATGAGAAACGAATTTAGTTCAACTTTATTTATTTGCCTCAAAACTAATATTTGCAACAATAAGTACACAGTATCTATAAACTTCCAATTTCAAAACCAGTCTCAGTACATTCGGACGCAGTAATGAAGTAATCACAAATATTACTAACAGATATTGATCTGATGCAATTTGCTTTCTTTTAAATTCTAAATCCATTTATTTATTTTCTTAAACGCAAATCAATTAGTTTACTTCTCAAACATAAATGCTTGCCCATCTGCACTATCAGACACCTTACCAGCACTAATAAGAATGTTTTAGACTAAATAATATTTATTTTTATTCCCTTGAGTTCCGAGTGGAACATGGTGCTGCAACAACACATCCCCACTTTTGTCTATTTTTTATGCCATTCTCCTCATCTGGGTCTACGATTGACCATAACCTCTCATCTCCTCCTCACACGATCTCCTCCATGTCACCCTCGCATCAACGACCCACTTGTCACTTCCATTGGGATTCCACTCGAGCGATGTCCTGAATTGCGTGAGATGTCATTTGACGGCCTTCTTGGTGTATGCGCGACCCATCTCCATTTTCTCCTTCTTATTTGTTGAGCGTTAGGCTGTTGGTTGATTTATTCCGACAGTTTCTTGTTACTAGTTCTTTCTGGATGACCATCTGATCTTCAGTAATGAGCCATAGAGGTGGGCAGCAGTTGGTAAAAGTCTGTAATCTGTTGAAAGTCCTTTACGTGACACGCAGAGCGAGTTTCTGACGCATAAAGAAGCAGAAATTTAACATTTGTGTTGAAAATCTGAATCTTTTTGTTTATGCTGGATGTCTGAGTGAAGCAGAAGATTTGCCAACTGGTTTCAGGTTGATGAAGGAGTATCTTGCCTTTTCGATTCTGGTTGGCTGGCTTTGACATCTTCATCCGTTCCGACTCCCTGTGGCTGAAATGATGCTTCCCAGCCAGATAAGTGAAGGAGGTAACCACTGTTAAATATCTCCCGTTGATGGTGATTAGTGCTGATTTTTGTTGCTGGTGTTGTTGGTCGGTGGGTATCTTCATCACCTCCGTCTTCTCTGTGTTCACCTGCAGCCCTGTCTTTACTGGCTGCTTCTTCAGCCGGTTTGCTGGTTTTCACCTGTAAGTCTTCGAGTTTGTGTGATGTTAGACATATATCATCTGCAAAATCCAGCTGTTCTATAGTCTTCTTATTGGTGGTTCAGGGCATTCTTGTCTTCTCGCTCCACACAATCTGACGCATAATCCAGTCCATTACTAAAGAAGAGAATAAATTTTCGTTAGGTGAATGGCGATATAAGATTTTACAGACCCTATTGCTTTTCAGGTACACATTAGCTGAAGTCAGTTGAAGATCAAGTTCAGATTGAACTTTATTATTCCTTTACTTAGCAGACATTAGTTATCATCAATTATATAGAAGTAAAGTAAGTCTAGTAGTTAAATAGTGTTGCTCACTGCCTTCACAGCTTTCTTCAGGTTCATAGGCGTAGTTTAATGCTGAACAATAAGAATATCAACTATTACTCAACATCTGTGTTTCTTATTCTCTTATTTTTCACCAATGACGGAATTAAATATGTTACCAGTGGGGGAATGAAAACGATTATATGAAGTTTATGCAAAAAAATGTTCACGATCAAACTGCAGAAACATTTTTTGCAATTACTGATAATCGACATTGATCTGAAAATTCATTAGTAGGATTAATTTGATCTTGAGGGACTAATGACTACATCAGTTTTTCTGTCCCCATTCATGGCTTTTTCGGACACTCTAATCACCTGATATTACTTTTCTTAGAAGCCATCCAATTTTAACATATCTGTTATTTGTGAACTGGCACTTACACTTACCACCAGTAGTGAACTTGGAGTGCTCATAAGTTAAAAATTAAAAGGACGTACTTAATTCCTAGCATTTCTCATGATCAATAACTGTTATTTTAAAACACTTTTAATTCCCGTGGAAATTGTTTTGGTTATTAAGATTTTTTGTTTTTTACTTTTTTTATAGTCGGCCATCACCACGCACCTAATGATTTTGAAACTCTTGTGAAAAAATGTAGGAGTAATGAGAAATGCAAATATCTAGCCAAAAACTGCATTATGAAGGAATTAGTAAAACCCAGATTCAAAGGCTGCCCTGCTGCTCAGGCCTATTTAAAGTCAATTGATCGTATGTACAAGTAGAAGTTATTTTGTTCTTTATGTCTTGATATTATTTGCGTTTTAACCTCCCTATGTGAATAAACTGCTTAATAATATAACATTGTGAGTTCTATATACAAACCTGTAACGAAAAGAAATTAATAAGATGTTTGAAAAGTCATGTACATATACTTGACAAGAAATCAATAAAATGGTAATTTCGTAAGTTAAACAAACGTATCAGACATTTAGCACTTCTCAAACTTAGTTTTTTATCTGTTCATAAGATGCCCTGTAAGATCAAATATTTAACGTGAAGATGAACAAACCGACAGAAAATGTGAAGACTAGTATGTAATGTGCCAATTCAGTAAAATATTCACCAGCACAATCTTACATCTATTAAATCATAATGAAGCTATTTACCGCCAGGTATTTTTACACCATAAATCTGCCAGTAAATTAAATAGGGAAGTATCATTGAATTCTGACCTTCACAACGAGTCCAAACTGTGAAAACGTAATCGAATGGTTCTAGTGAACATTATTTCCGCATTCTAACGTATAGATCTTATATTTCTATAAAGCTACTAGATAAGTGACTTCTAATAGATGAGACTTTTGACATAAGGTCACATTTCAGTCTTCACAATGACAACAGCTATTAAAGATTCATATAGTTCCTTTAGTATTGTAAAATGTAAGCCAATTCTATACTTATAGTTCAGCAGATTGCTCTTAGCCTCTTACTAAGTTTTTATGCCACCGTAGTAAAACTTTTTCACCATCACCCTACACGGTATTTACTTGGTCAGAAGACCGATAGGGTGAAGTGTTCATCTAAAGAACTTAATTCAATCAAAAACGATAATAACCTTATGTATCGTATTTTACAACTGTCTTGTACAGTCAAGCTTCTTTGGGACTTGTAATGAATTGTTTGTCATGTTACATGTAACCAGTGTGTTGTAAAACAAGGGTGATGACAAACTATTTCCTTAGATTCTAAGTACAACTGAATATGAGTAAACTTACTATAAACATGAAGGTAAGGCTGAAACATCTGACTACTAACAACTAGATGTTTTCATGAACACACTAACTGTGGAAACACTAACTCTACCCTGACCGTGTAAACTTTCTGTTAAATGATTGTGTTACTGAGCTGTCTTCTTGCTAGCACAAAACTATTTAAAAGAAAAGGCGTTCAGCGAAGAGTTACTCTTCTCAGTGGTATCATTCTCATGTTGTACAATTGCACATATTTAGTAAATTTTCCTATCAAAAAAATGAATATTTCCTAAGATTTGTCATTAGAATTATGTAATGTAAAAAGAAATGTAGAAAGCGTCAGTCAAGTAAAGACTTCAACAAGATTAAACAAGTTAGTCGAGTGACGCAATCTAATTGACAAGGGTTAAAAGTGAACAAAAGCCAAGTTAAAAACAGTGGTAATAAGGGGCAGAGGTTTAATAAGGAGTGGATGAAGAAAATATCATACAACTAAGAAGCAAACAAACAAAAAAGACGAAACAAAATAACGTAATTGGTGTTGAGATAAGTCAGACCCTATTTAGATAGATTTAATGACTGAACAAACTTCTTTTGTAGGCAGAAATAATGTGTGAATTGCCATTGCTTCCGCGGTTTGAAGAAGTTAAATTATATCCTGAAATACGTACTAGCTGCAACTTTCTTCCACTTATTTAAGGTTGATGCGTTTATGTAGTGAGTTACTTCATTCTGTTAGGCCTGCGGCGTCCGCACATTTCTGCATAACAAAACGATGTTGTCAACCTATTTCCAATGAAAAGTGACTTTAGAAATAAAAAGGCTGACCAGGTTTTCAACAAATAACACACAGACATCAGTCAGTCAAAGTGGTAGTGGCGCGTTTTTTTATGTGCGCGAAAAAAGGTTTGCTGCAGATCATTTACCTTGGTTGATCTATTTTTAGGAATTTATTAAGAGCAGTGTCCAGATCATCCTTTTTGCTCACACATCACTTATTATTCTGTCAGTTTTAGTAGACCTGCCATTTCTTGGTCTTTAAAATATGCTTTTGACTTGCGTTTCCTTAGCATACTTAATAGGAGATCGCAAAAGAATTCTAGTCTCACTCAGCATATACATCAAGAATATGAATACTAGACTTCAGGTAGTTACGCAATACTTCCGTTAATAAACCTTTCCTTTTCATATAACATTAAGAATTCTATTGAGACAAGGAAGAATATTGACAACATATAGATTGCATTTGTCTCCATAGCTCAAACTGTACACCACTTCAAGCCTAAAAGCGTAATCTAAAGCTGGTCTGTCAGGCAACTGACGATAGTTACTGCTGAAGCGTTAGTGAAGCTTTCAATATAACAATTTGAACAGGAATAGAAATTTTTGCAGCTTATATTAATACTTGTTATGTTAATTTGCGTCTCTCAGTACACCTGCCTTGTGGGTCGTCTTACATTTTCACAGTCACTTAGTTAAATGAAACACTTCCAAAGTAAGATTCACTGTAACACATCACTTTACTTAGTAAAATACTAGATGAACATAATTAATTTCTTGCTTACACTCCATGAAATTTATCTATGCCAAATGTTGTTCAAATGAATGATTACATTCTGTGTGAAATAATAAAAACAAACTTGAATGGACTTGCTTTCATCTGTATAACATCAGAAACCTAAAAGTTGAATAAAAAGGATTTTGGGTAAACATTTCTTCATACTGACTTGCTAGCTATATTAAGATAGAAGAAAAAAACAAAATCATTCCTTGTTTTTTCTTTCATTTTATTTACTCAATTAGTAGAACATCTTTACTAATGCTTAACTAGCTCGTTAAGGTAATTGTATCCCCTGTCAGCTCGTATTGACATGTTTTATCAGATGTGTTAGTAGAGCGCGAGATCATTTATTTATTAGGTATTAACACCATAATTCCACTGATGAAGTAGAATATAAGGGACATACAATTTATGATATGTTTACAAACTGCTAAGTGATCGTACATTAGTTTGCCTGCACTGAATACAAAAACAATAATTCATTAAATTGCAAAGTAGGGCGGACATATAAAGTATCCTTGTATCATTGACACAATCATCTGATATCTATTAAACACTTCAGCAGTATTAAAAATCAGCTGTCATCTGAGACGTTTTGCAGGTATAATATGACTTTAGAAAAGTGTCTTTGAAGTTTATTTCTTACTCCACAATTCAATGTCATATAAGATATTTATCATTTATTTTAAGTTTGATCGCTAGCTGATACCATTTAGAGAATCACTTAAAACCAGGGATTACCGAACAGCTATTTCATCCTAGTTTGAGATTCTTCATCAGTACACACCCACACCATGGCTAGAATCTAGTACCTTCTGATTACAATGGAAGATTGTAGACCATTCAGCCTCTGTGACCTGACTCAATGGCTCATGAGTTACAGCTTCTACTCATTCGTGATATAAGCACGATCACTAGCCAATGATATCGGTGAGCTCTTGTTCCCACATCGGAAACGGTGGATCCCACTAGTCACGACTTCTTACTAGAACTACAAGCAACTTCGTCCTATAGCCTGTCACTAGCGAGGATGAGATTAATGCTCAAGAGTTAGTTTGTAAGGATTTTCTATTCCTTCAAGTTCCCAGTGGAACATAGGGCTTCAAGATGGAAGCTTGAAGCTTCTGTAGCAGTGGTGACTATTTTTACAGGATGGGGTTTCTAGCCTGCCTCATGCACAACCTTTCCTCTTTACCAGCTTGATTTATGGCTTAGTGAGGTCAGGGAGTAAGTCGGCTGGGGATAGAACCCCGGACCATGTACATGGTCCGCAAGCGTCCTAACCTCTATGCCACCGATGCACTTGAAGGGATTTGATTTGCTTCAAGTTTGACTACAAGTCGACATCAGTATGTGCATTCGAGCAAGCTATTCAGGCCACTTTCAGTTAAAATTGTCACCTAGTTGACGTAGCCGAGGCTTCACTTGTATACTTCATTTATTTCCTAATAATCTTTAACCATAAACCAGACTTATAGGACAGAATTTGATTTTGCCATAAATCTTAATATATCTCCTTAAATTTCCTATTTGAAATACACACATTAGGAGTAGAATAAACATACACATAATACTAACTAATTCAGAAATATTGTTTTCTTAACGAGAACAAATATTCTGAAGTTACTAATTTCCGCATAAACTATCAATAGCTCACACGTCTCAATATCTTCTTAATTAGTTAAATAATACATTTGTTTAGGATAAGAACCTATGAGATAAGTCAGATGAAGGATATCAATAAATAAATACAAGATAAAAAAGATAACATAAACGAGTAAAAAATGTCTCTTAACTAGGTAGAATGATGGAGTAAAAGCTTGAAATTGTCAGTACCTTCACGCTTTGTCTATTATAGGATGTTGAAATAAAAATTATTTTTTTTAAATAGACCCGAGGATTATTTAGTAGTAGATACCTAGCAAAGTTAAATCCTGTGAAATAATTCTGATGAATTTATTTCAAAACCAAGTAATCTAAAACTGCTGAAAACAACTTAAGTATAGGATTTGTAGGGATTCGAATTATTTTCAATGGGGATTTCATCCGGTATCAACATCAGTCAGTGTGTAAAGAATGGATGTCCGGAAATTCTTGTAAGGAGTCGTGACAGTGGAATCTAACATGTCATAGTGAAGGGGATGCTAATGAGTAGCACTGGCTGGCGCTAACGCATCATCACAAACTGATAGAAATTAGGTATCATGGATGATGGAATCCCTAATCACTGACTGAGTGGTCAACAGGATAGCTTGATATCAACGAGGCCTTGGGTTTGACCATTAATGGGGTTACTGATGTATACCTCAGAAACATTCCGAGTCTGAATAAAACAGCTCTCCAGCGCTCACCGATTTTCAATAACTCTCTGAATGATATTTGTTCGTGAGAAAATCTACATCAAAATTTAATTTTGTTCCTAAAAGACCTTAGTTGTCATCACAAAATCAAATTTTAATATAAGTCATTTCATAATTAGTTTTAAGTCATGGTTGAAAAGTTTTAGGAGGAAGACATGTGACAAAAAGCCATGTTACCAGTTTCATCCTTAGTTTGTTGACACTAGTGTAGATACTCTTGACATGTAATCAACTAAACATTGGTAGACCTCATAAACTTTGATTTATCACTCTGTATTTGATTGAACATTTTTAGTCAAATCCAAAGAATCTAAAGCATTCCTTGTTTAGCTAAGTGTCAAGGTTAATCCACTTCCACTAGTTCAATTCACCTGAGGACAATAAACAAAACTGCTCATAATAGTTTCACTTTAGTGGTATTGCATTATTTTACTTGTTACTCTTCAATAACTTTTCCTCATGGGCTATAGTTATAAATGGATAAACTTTAGCATGGAATAGCTACTAAAGATAAATCAAGATTGAATCAGAAACTGTATTGTTGTACAGGAACAAGGACAGGATGGGGCAGTAATCAGTTATCCTGTACCATAAATTGTTCTTGCTTTGCTTAAATAGTCAATCAGTATTGATTATCTTTTAAATACGTACAAAATGTAAGCTCAGTAAGAATATGAGCTCAACAATTCAATATCATGTTTGTGAATTTATAAACAAAGAAGTATGGGATTCAAGGGATGACTTGTAGTCAACAGTATGGCAGAAAATATAAGTGCTACAAAGAAATAAACAAGTAAATGCTATATTCTGGATGTGATTACAAAGGATCATATGTAACGGTAGTATTGAAAAAATAATAATGGCATGGTGTAAACACAGTGATAATATTGGTCATTGATTAGCCAGTAATGAAGCATTTAACGTAAGAGAAAAGGAAGCACTCCGCTAATACAGTGAAAAGTGTGAAAACGACTAATAACATATTGGCTCCATGAACGGATGCCCCAATAGTACCATGATCATCAAATTGAACTAACCTTTTCCGTGGTGGCTAGCGGTGAGATCCAGGATAAACAAGATGTAGCTGCAATGTTTCGGTAGCCTAGTCGATAATGCTTTGTCGTTTGAAACGATGGATACTTGGTTCCAGTTCAAGCATCGTCACTCAATGGAGACGAGGTCTACCTAGCTAAGGAAAGTAACCAGACGTCTGTGCGTCGGTGGCACAGTGGTTAGGACTCTCGTTGACCATGCACATGGTCCGAGGTTCGATCCCCTACCGACGCACACCTGATATCTATTGTCGGTCTGCAAAATTTGGGCTACCGATATCACATGCTGAAAATTCCATACCTGTACCAAAATATACGGTGTGGAATGAAGCTGTAATAAAAAATCGTTTTCCTGCAATGTAAGCTTCAGTCTGCACATTTCTTTTCCTAAGCAGTTTTCACAACATATGTGTTATTTTATGTGTGAGGCAACCAGTTAGGCGGAATAAAACTATGGCAATGGATTTACTGACCAATTTATTTGTTCTCTGCAAATATATATCTCTACAAGTACCATCTGTTTTCTTGATAAGACACCTAGAAGTGGCATGGTAATACTTTCTTTTTCCTCACAAATTAAATACACGGCTGGATAGCCATTAGGGAAAGCGATCAAAAGCATGTATGCAATGAAAAATGTCTCAAACGATGAAAGTTTTATTGTGATTTTGACAATAGCAGTCAGGCTTATAAATCATGTCTCTAAGTGAATCCTGTTCAACTTTACCAAGAAAATATCCACCAGCATAAGGCCCAATGGAGAATTCCTTGCAACTCCATCAACATGTCTATAGAATTTGTTGTTGAATACGAACCAGATATTCACACGCATTCTGATAGCAATTCCAAACCTTTTCAAGCAGGATTCATTTCACCTGATCAGTGTGATTAACTGTTTCACGAAATAGTAAGTGGTAGTGTTACATCCAGTGACATGACTTTCTTTTGATTTACATTCAGACTTTTGGTGTCTTCTACGAAAATAAACGCATCCTATATGCTTTATGCAGTGGTTTCAGATTTTTAACTAACCGCTTGGCTGCTAAATGATGGGGAGACTAAGTTGTGTTTAGATAGTACCACTGTTAAACACCGGGTTTGTGAACTTTTAGTAAACTGTAAAGTCTAAGTGCAAGTGTGCCTCGGAGTTCCAATTCACTGAGCATAAGCTCAGCAATCGATTCTCTTTCTTCTCTGATTTTAGTATTTCAGTCAGTCTGCTCTTTTTCGCCTCATTTTTGTCCCCAATATCTGAAATTTCCTCTG